ACATTTGGCTGCAGGCCGCAAAGGAGCAGTGACACGGTCACCAGGGCGCGCCTGGCCTGGCCTGGCCTGAGAGGGACGCCCCGGGGCCTGAGGCGGAGCTGTGCCCCAGGGGCCTCCACTCTGGGGCCAGACCTCTGCCCCAAGAATGGTCCTAGGTCCCTGCAAAGGAGGCGCGGCTGCCGTGCATGCCCGGGAGGGGAGCGTGGCCCTGCTCAGGGGCCACTGCCCCATCCAGACACGGGTGGGCAGGGGAGTCTAGTTCCCTTCCTGGGGCAGTGACCCAGGGCTCCACTGCGCGGTGCTCCACGCTGCTCCCCTCCTCAGAGTAAAAACGGAGCTGTCAGCCATGTGGGGCTCTCACCAGAACCCTGCCCCCCTCGCTCCTGCCTTGGGAAAGGTGCTTTGACATACCTGGGTGTCCGGCCTGGAACAGCTTGGGGGGGCCTCCTTTTTCTCAGCCCTGGCTGCACCTTTGAGGCCCACGCCGAGGTTTGGGTTTAAATTGTTGATGTACTTGAGGGATCTGGATGTTTAAGAGCCCTCATGTGATTCTAATGGGCAGCCGGAGCACCTGGGGGTCCAGCGAGCTATCCTGAGATTAGGCTTGGGGGCCAGGCTAGTTCGTTGCTCTCAGGCTTGGTTTGGCCGTTGACCCACGGGCAGCCCTGGCACAGGTCCTGCCACGCCATCCTCCCAGATTACTCCAAGGGCTCTGCCACAGCCCTCAAAGCACCCCTTATCCATAAAATCAACAGGCTGTCAGCACAGGCCCGCTTTCCCCAGCCACTCCTCCCACTCCCGGGCTTCTGGCCCATCCCTTGGTCCTAGAATATATCCTGATGATAAGTGCTCAAACGAACAAAAATATCAGGAGGTGAAATCTCAGTATGCCCGAGTCCCAAGTGGATTCACGGGCAGCCAGTTCTCAACCATTTTCCTGTCCGCTTGCATGCAAAGGTGTGAAGCAGTCAGGGCTGGGGGCAAGGGGAGGCAGAGAGGGCTAGGGAGCACAGTGAAGGAGGGACAGAGGGACAGGGACACAGTCGGTCCAGGACCAGGGGAGAAAACTGAGGTGACCTCTTTAGCAGGGTGGCTGGGGCACAGCACAGACTAGCCGTGGGGGATTTGGGTTTTGTCTCTGGGTAAATATTAGGTTTCCTGGGCTGAAACACACTGTCCTGTGTTTGGGGCGAATAACATGCCTGGTAGAACCCTGTATCCCTGTGACAGACAGGACAGGGACTGCAGAACATGATGATCGCAGCATCTCAGCCAGGGTACCCGAGGCTACGGGTTTAGGCACACACAGCGCCTGTGGCTCTCATGGGGTTGGGCGGGGGCTGCAGTTGGAAAGGGCTGGAATCCTTATGGGAGGATGGTGAGCCAGACTGCTTCTGACAAACCGGGGGGCCTAACGTTGGGCAGGCTGGGTCCTTAGCTCCCCCTGGGGTCAAGGTCCGGGGCTCCTGAGATCCTGCAGCCCTGCTCCCATACTCCAGAAGCCGGAGTACCAGGAGACCCAAGGTGCAGGCATGAGGCTGGGCAGTGCGCAGAGAACAGAGAATCGAGTGACAAGAGGCGCTGCCGGTACAGAAGCAGTCCATCCACAAGAGGGCGCAGTTTTACGTGTTTATTTTTGGCAGGCAGGCAGGAAATCATTGCAAATCTCTTGACTAACAATGTTCGCCCCTGAAATGTGCACATTCCACATGTAGCATTTCCCGAGTGATGCTGGCTTGCTCATCACATTCAAATGTCCAGCAGAAACCCATGACTACCCAGACACCAGCATCTCCACTACTTGGAGGGGGTGGGGGTGTTAGTCTGCAGAGAAGCTCCCTGGAGAATGGAACAGGAACAGACACCATCAAGTTACAGTAAAATAGGGACAGAGGCAGCCAGTGGGTCTTGCACAGGTAACTGCAAGTGCTCCGAGCTATCCATTCTCCTCTAGCCCTGGCCTGCCACTGTCCATCACAGCACCTTGAAAAGCAGAGGCACAAACGTTATGAGTGTTTGACCATAGGGCTGTGTGGTTCTGGATTTTATTAGAAAGCCATCTTTAAAATACAGGGTTGTAAGATGTTGCCAGGTTACAGACTTACAGATTTCCCTTTTATACGCAAAGTTCAAATGCTGCAACCGTGACAAGTCAGTGTCACCTCCAAAGTCATCTCATCAAAATGGCACCGCATCAAAGGAGCTTCCCCACCAACCATCAGCTGTGACAGGCGGTGGTCTTTTTTATTATACAAACGCACTGTTTACAAACAGCGAATGGGTGAAACCATAGACCAAGATGTGGGATTCCAGAGAGATGGAAGACAGAGCAGTCACAACCTCAGATGTGCCTGGGCACCTCCACTCAAGGCCCAGCCAGAGATGTCATAGCATCCTAGGGGCGAGAGTTCACAACCCAAGATATCCTGTCCCAGGTGTTAGTGTAAAAAATACTTGTCCAGAAAACTGTATTTTAACCTGGTACAGAAGGGACCATGGAAACTCAGGTCGTCAGATTTCTCTTTTGGCTAAAGAGTTAGGGATGTTTTGGTAACATGGGAAGTATATGGCACAGAGAAATAGCTAATTGGTTTCAATTCGGTTTTTAAAGCCCACAATTTAATAAAAGGTAATAATTAAAAACAATACCCGTATTTACCTTAAAAAACATAAACCCCAAACATTCATCTCATTTCTTGGCCTTATGTTAGAAATCTATTGCTTCATTTACATGTAGATGATTAAAAATATATATAGATATAGATATTTATTTTGATTATGTACATAAAGCAGAATCAAGGATTAAAATAAAAGTGGGATTTTGGAGTGTGGTCCAATAAGGTGCACAGAATCCAGAACCCGCAGAGGGCTGACTGGTCCTCCCGAGACATTCTGTGTCTGTGGCAGGAACCGGGCTCGATCCTCAACAGCTCGGCACTGGGTTAGCGCACAGCACGGTTTCAGGAACGGCCGGGTGTAGTGTCTGGCTCAAGCCTGCCAAGTGTCTTCACTCCATCTGGCACTATTTCCAGGTTCTATTCCCCTGAAATATTCTAGAATTTCTGTCCTCTCTGCCCCCCATTCCAAACAAGACCTCGTGATGCACAACAAGGAAGGGGCACAGGTGAGGGCATAAGGCTCTCATCAGGACCGAGTTCTGTGTGGATTTCAGCACATGACAGACACGTGACCGCAACATTCAAGACATTTAAGGCAGCGGGTTCATTTAATGACTAGTTTTCAAATCAAGGTTATGGCACGTGCACATCTGCCACGTCACTGTCATGATCTGTGGTCATGCCGAGCGAGGGGTTGTTTCTGTTTTAACTGGCATATGGGTTACTGGGTTCAGAATACTCAGAATGTTGGGAGACCTGGTTACCCCTGAATACTTACTTCTGAACGCAGGGCAGTCCACAGACCAAAGAGCTGTTGGGAGGACGTGATTGGCAGCTGGCTTCACTATTTTGTGAATGAAAGCGAAGGAGAAATTTTACTCTGACACCCAACTTCCAGTCTTATTAGCGCCCGTTGCTCCCACCAGAGCTCTGGTGGAGGCCCAACCCACAGAGGACTAAGGCATCGGTGCCAACAAGGGAAGGTTCTTTATAATTATTTGTAAGAGCAATACTTTAAAGACTTGTTGTCAAACAAGGAACATGGCACTGCGTAAAACATCTCACTGGGAAAGGCTGCAAAGGGAGCCCTGGCTCCAGGAGGGAGCCCTTCCTCTCCCTGACTCAGGACAATGAGCCTCACATCTAGACAGGCTTCCCCACCCCCGGCTCAGAAATAGGCTGTGCTTCAGAAGAGAAGACTAAGAGGTGGACTTGAGCCACATCGGCGTGGCGGGCGGCTGAGGCCACAGGTTCTCAAGAGAGAACAGTCAGCTCATCGCGGGATCTGATGTTGACTAGTTTAAAATGGACACCACCCTTGTGTGGCATGCTGGCCCTTCTAAACCCCCATGGCCGGTGCCAGGGGAGGGGTGCAGAAGGTGCAGTCTGCAACGGGGTGGGACACCTATGTTGACAACCCTGTCCAAGTGTGCAGCTTAGCAGTGAGCAGATTCTGAGCATAGGCACAGTGGCAAAGAACAGTGTAACAGCCGCTGGTCAATTCCATTTGGTGGCAGCGCAGTAGCAGCAAAGAAAATCCCCTAACAGCTCCACGTGTATCCAGCTTTCGGAAAGGAAAGATTTAAAAATCAATAAATGGATTTTTTTTTTAAAAAATGCAAGGGTTTGAGTTTCTTGGAACTGCTCTACACCCAACAACGACAGAACAAAAAAACATATGGAAATATGGTAGTAGTGTGAACGCAGGAGTGACACGATGTCACTTTTCAAGGGAAAGATGTGACCCCAAGACCAATCTGTCGCCATCTGAAGTCATAATAATATAAAAGAATCAGCTGTTTCCCAAAGTGTCAAGCCACATGATTGCAGACATGTCCCCGACTGGATCAGAAATGACTGGAGACACCGACACCGTCACAGAAACGCCCACCAGGAGCCCGACCCTGCACGCGCCTCAGGTTGCGGGAGCAGCCATCCCTGTTGACTCACTCCCGCACCCGGCCTCCCCTCCCCCCCAGGTTCTAGAAAATTGTCATCTTTATCTTTTTAGAGAATCTAAGATAATAAAAGACTAAAAAGATGTCTGGAAATATGTTGTATAGAAAAATTAACTCTCAGCTTAAAATAACATTCAAAAAGGCACTTCATCCTGTAGGAAGGTTCCGGGCTGGGTCAGCTGCTCCGACTGGGATAGACGGGGACGGGTTGTCTGCTCAGAAGGGAGACAGTTGGAAGGAAGTCTGGTAGGTATCAAGCTTTTTTTTTTTTTTTTTTTTTCATTTTTTTTTTTTT